TTATAAGTCTGCGAATTTCACATCTTATAAAGGACACAAAATATTAAAAAAAAACTGTTGCAATATTGTTCGGGCAAGCACATACTCTTTAGCAATAAAGAAAATATACGCAAAACAGAAGCAATTGGTTTTTTTTTTCCTTTGTTAACTATGCGACATGCTTGAGCGTGTCGAATAGTTAACAGATTTGCCTATTAGAAAAAAAAGTTAGAGCTTATAAAATATAGTCTTTTGATCTTAAATAAAAACGAAAGATTTTTATGTGAAATGAAGAAATAGCAGAGTTATTAATAAAGAATATAGAATAATCAAACCTGAAAACTTATTGTTAGGCCAAACGCAAAAATAAGTTAAGAACATGAACAGCTCTTTCATATTTGCATTTTTTCATTTTGGTGTCACTCCTCTGTCAGATCGTTATGGTGTCACCCGGTGCGGCCCCCAACCCCCGAGTGATGCCACTGAAAATATTTATATAGTGACAAAATTAATTAAAAAAAAAAATTCTTATTATACGAACAGCAAAGCGTATGTATAAAAAAATAAATATAAAAAAACGGTCAGTTCAGCGGACAATACTATTATGATGTACTGGAAAGTGTTATTTTGCAAGTTTCAAAATTTTTTGTTGAATAAGTTTAGTTTGTTTGGAATTGAATACACTGCCATGTAATACTCCGGTAAAAAGTCTAATGATTAGCAGCATCTAACCATATAACACAAAGAGTACATTTTTATGAATGCACGTAATTTATTAAATTTACCAATGTCACATTTTGCACTTTTTTATAAAAAGAATTTAACTCAAAGGATCGGTTTGCTCTCTTGTCAAACTTCTATTTTGACTTTCACGACCGCTAACTCAGATTTAAATGAAATAGGTATATTAGAATTTATAGGGATATGTGACTAACCTAAATAGGGAAATGCAGTGAGTGTACATTCATCGCCTGAAGACCATAATATGTAGTCTTGTAATTAATTACAAGACAACTTACCCAATTAATTGAAACAAATTAACTTTTGCTGACGTGAATGACATTGTTAGAACAAGCGTCTGACAAGAGGCCTGTCTATGTAATGATATTTGACGAAAAGCCTGCCTATGCAATGATATTCGATCTAATTTCGATCCGGAATGTGAAGCCACTTTTGCCCGAATTAGAAATGGCTTCCACGACAATATTTTATTCAATATTTTTCCCTTTTTACAAATGGCGAATTAAATTTATAAACAAAAAATGTAATTTCATTTTTTGTCCAATAAAACGCCGCAAGTCAGATGTCTAGTGTGTTTGTATATATTTATATATAGACGATAATTCGTCTGACTTTTTTTTTCCCGTGAACTTTGAGAAGTCAGACGAGAAAACTTTGGTTTTTGCACTAATGCAATTTATCATCTACCGGAAATAATATGTTCCTGCGGCTTTTCTTTGATCTTAATAAAATATCATAAAGTTTTTGAGGGTTTTATTTTTAAAATGCGCCAAAATTTAGTTCATTAAGTTATCAGTGCTATTCAGAAGCAATATAACAAACGAAAAATTTAGAGTATGCTTTTAAAATAGTTTGTGACTTATTTTGTATTAAACCTTTGAAGGATTACTAAAAAGAAGCTTTAATAGCTGTCAACAATTGCATAGATTGTTTTGTTTGCAAACTAACAGACAGTAAAAAATCTATTGTGCTCCAATGTTTACCCTTTTTTACCTTCAATTTAAACTTATTAAGAAAAGGACGAGCAACTGATAGTATTCGATTTAAATATGTACTTAAGTTGTGGAATAATTAAATTTTAGATGTTTCTCCGCTTTTGAGTTTAATGTAAGATCAAGAAAACATTCTTAGTAAAAACTTTTTAGTAAAAACTTTTTCTTAGTAAAAACTAAAAACGGAATCAAAGTAGCTTCTTTCAAAAGATGATCAAACAGAGGTAACAATTATCATTATTATAAATTATTTTAGTTAACAAATAAAGTTTTCAATTTCTCTAGAAAAGGTCTAGTTTTTGCTGGGTAATGGCCCTGAGAAATTGTACATTTTTTAATGAAATAATGTTCATAATTTTTTGGAAATTTGATTTCAATTTTCTGTAGAAAACATGTAAAATATTTTTTAGTAAATGCAAAATAATTAATCATTTATTGAGAAACTTTTAATACTAAATGCATTAAGATAATTATGATAATTTATTATTAATTATGACATTTTATTATTATATTATGATACTTTATTATTATATTTCATTATGATATTTATTTATTTTGATATTTTTAATTCTAATTCTTTTTTAATTATAAATGCCTTAAGCATTTATTAGGAAACGCTATATTATTCTGATATTGAATTTCGACATGCCTCGAGTAAATTTTTTTTTTTTGAATTGTGGAATGTTGTTTATTGTTTAAAAGTATATACTATTTTATTGTTAAATTACAATGATACAAATGTAATATTTTGTTTACCTGAAGCCATTGTAACAACTTATTGATCAATTGTCAATGACTCTGCTTTTAATCAGACACTTGTTGCAATTACAGTTGACGAAAGTCATTGTGTAAAAAAGTGGTAAGTGATTTTGTTATATAAATAAATTTGCTTGTAAAATAAACATTGATATTTACAACTTTAATGTTGTAATACATAAAACTGTTTTAAAATTAAAAAATTTTGCTCATTGAAAAAAAAAAGTCTTACCTATAGCATTCTATGAGCAAAATCTTGTGATTTACATGATTTTATTTATACCTTAATTGTCTGTGATTTTTATAGGGGAAGTTCAAGTACACAATCAGATGTATTTCGGTCTCATAATAATAGACTCTCAGAATTGCAATCACTTGTCCCTAAAAAAATTTCAGAATTGGCAATGACAGCAACTGTAGCTAAACAAAAACGATAATTTTTATTTACTTGACTAGATTATTTATTTACTAGTTGAGAAGGAAACATTGAAATAACAGAGCTAATTGAGTTAGCAGAGCTAATTGAGATGAATTCCCTTCATGCTACTACTCATACGCTGAGTAGGCTGAGCCGGGATTTGAACCTCCAATCTTGCTGCTACGGCCAATAGTTATTCCGAACTTATAACAGTGTTTTAACCAACTGAGTTATACCGAACTTATAACATTGCTTTAACCAACTGAGCTACCATTATTGATAATCTTTCTATACATAATTGGGTTATTATATCATCTACACCAGAAAAAAGAAATATTAAATACAGCTTGATACATATTGACTCAGGAGATCCATAGAAATTTTTTTACCTAGTTGTTCAAGATATACTTTTAAATACTTATTTAGCTAAAAGAACTTTAGGGTAAAATGCAAGAAGCGAACTTGAGTCAAGCTCGACTTGAACTTTACATTGCAACCAATAGCGACAGAGTATGGGTTTTCCCCTCAAAAAATACTCTTCCGCTATTGGTTACAAAGTAAAGTTCAAGTCGAACTTGACTCAAGTTTGCTTTTTGCATTCCACCCTTAGTATTTTCTACAACTATACTGATGTAAGATCAATTTATTAATACTTTCGCAAAGAAGCAGGTGAAAAATATAAAAGCTATCTTGATAGACCATACAGTCAATTTCATTCCAAAAAAGATTTTAATAATGAAAAGTATAATAATGCAAAACAAAAATATAAACAAACCTCTAAACTTGATCAAGCTTTATTTTTTTGTGTAAAAATATTCTACTATTCATTTCTTCTGATGTAGATATCAATATTTTTTGTGAGTTTTCTTTAAGAATTTCACAACCTCTTGAGATGGCATTTATATTTTTTTGTATTTTTGCTAAAGTTCTTTTTACATTTGTGTAGCATTTTTTACAAATACAATCATAGTTTTGTGATTAAGTTAGTTTTTCATTTGTGAAATTTCTATATTTAGACTAGCCTTTAATGTTTTCCCCTTATTATCCCATAGATTAATTTTCATTGAACCATCATCATAGGATGAATACTTTTGCGTGATATCATGGAGACATAAAATGCACACGTTTAATGAACTTGAAGGTACGAAAACCTCATAAGGTTGTGTCATTTTTTTTTGCAATATAAAATGTTTTTTTTTTAAAGCAAAAACATTGTCATCATTGCATTAAAAACCAAACAACTTATCCTCCATTTATTAAAAACTGGATACCATGTTGCAATATAAAAGTACACCAACTTATATACTATGAGTAAATAGCAAAAAAATTGTTTGAATTTAATAAATTAAATTTGAAGATAATCTGACTGAATTTGGCCACTACTTAAGAGTAAGAAAAAAAAAACTTATTTTTATAAATCTGCAATTTACATTGTCTTTTTTTAGTCTAAAAGTAAAAAATACGGATTAACAAAATATATAAAACGTAAATTAGGTAAAATGGTTGATAATTTGTAGAAAATGGCTAATTGTTTTTTAAAAAGTTTATTACCCACGTCCTTAAACCTGCTAAGCGTAAATATTTTTCGCCAATATTTTTAATCAGACGAAATATTGTCTAATTTATATATTGTTTCTGAGAGATTTTAATTATATCAAAGCTGCAAACAAAAAGATTTTCTTACGATTATATAAATTTTAGATTTAAAGTGAACACTTTTAGTTACATAGATATACTTTTTATTTATTGGCAGATACCAATAAAAAATCCAGTTACATAGGAATTATCATTCTTTATTTTTAGAGTAATAAAAAAATCTACTCCAAAATTTGATTTACTACTTAAATGGAATTACTTTTTTTGGTACACGCCATTAATTGGTTGGAAAAAGCATGTTTAAACATGGAGCAAACTCCAAACATTTATATGTTTACACTTATATCTAACAAGGATGCTTTGTACAAAATTGCGATAATTGGGACATGGGAAAAAAAGCCCTAAAACCATCGCCCCCAAATTTTGAAAGTTTTAAACCATCTTTCATTCTCTCAAAACAAACTAAACCACGGCATGACATAATCAATAATAGTTTAAAAGAAACAGAAAACAGAAAATTTACATATATTGTGCTATTCACCAAAGATAATCGCAAGGCAGTATACATTTTTAGAGGAACAAAAAAAAAAAAAATTAAAAATAAACGTATTCTTTTTAAAAACGAATAAAAACGCTTCTGGAGTTGATCATTATATGCTCGTATAATTTGTATATGAACGCATCGGTATACTGTCATCAACTTGGATTGAAACGATATTAAGTCTAAATTATAACGAAATATTGCACTGATAGTAAAGTAAACACAAGATCTGTTTTCAGCTTCTCAATCTAGTAATCGTATAGCAAGAATACAAAATATTGTGCCAGTGACGTTTTCTAAAATTTGATATTTAAAAAAATAAATAAAATGAAAACGTCCATATTAAACGAGCATTAACGTTTTGTTTCAAAAGAATTCTGGTGGAAACAGCTTTGTAAACTTGCCGCCTTTATAGAAACGCACAACATGTGTAAAACCATTGAACATTCGCCATCGGTGGCCTATATGTCATCTGGTATCCTGTATATTCGGGAAGAGTGTATAGTGATTAATGAGAAATCACAAGTCATTAAACCACAAGTCATTAAACCACTCCCGGGCCACCACAGGGATTTTTCTTCAATACTGAGAATTGTACATTGGCTGAGAGTAATCTGCTTGTGAAGAAAACGGATGGTAGCCACCACGATCTCCTTGATAAGACGAATCTTGAGATAAAACCTGATCAGCTTGAGATTTAAGCTGGAAGTCTTCTCCTAAGTAGCTATCCTAAAAATATTAAAGAAAAATAAATTACTTGTGTCAATTTAATTGCTACATTTTCACTAAATTACTTGTACTTAGATCGATTCTTGCCCTACTTACTAAAGAATAAAATAGAACATAAAACAATTTTCTTCATAAAAAAAGCTAGTTTACATAGGATATATACAAGGAAAATTTATTTTTGTGCATTATCTGACAAGTTAAAACTGTTTTATTGTTAAGGAAATTTGTCGTAATTATAAATATGGGTTCTTTAAGTTCGAAACTATGATTAAAAGTTCCTGTCAATTTAGGAGTGTATTAAAATTGGTTTAAATATATGCTTCAGATTAGAAACAGTGTCTGACCATTAGCTGTCACTATCATAAAATTGGTTTACTGAAAAAATCATCAATTACCTGTGATAACTCTGGTTGAGAGAGTGGTTGTGACAAAGGATGCATTTGTTGGCTCATACCTCCTTGGGTGAGAGGACCTTGCGATAATGGCCCTTGAGATAAATCCTAAAAAATGAAAACATTTAGCATAAGATTTTTAACTTTAAACCACTTTAACATTGGAGCTAATTTTATTATTAAAACCTGGTTAGTTCCATTTCTATTGTTATTATTATTATAATTTCCACCAGTTTTCTGGTTCATTCTTGGACCAACTGGCATTCGTGGACGATTTTGATGACCTGGACGCACCGACATTGCCTTTAAAAACATTTTAAACAATAAAGTTTAACTACAAATGTAGTTTCTGTATACAATTAATTAGTTAAATAAATACAAGTTAAGCTCATCGAACTATAACAATATAAAAGTGTTGCCAATGAGGAAATAGTTTAGTCATAAATCATTGAAGTGCTAATTATTTAAATAATGCTATTGTCAAATTAAAAAAATTAATGTAACACAAACATAAACTTACCTGGTGATTAAACTGGTAAGTTGGGGGTGGCATTGGTGACATGAACATTCCAACTGGTATTGGCATATTAGCAGCAAATGCATTTCTAGCTTGATCAGGACCAGTAGGAAAAAAGTTCATTCTATCATGAGTGCGATAGTATGAATCCATCACAGGGTCAACATGTGGTGGTCTTATGTTTCTATTTGGATACATTCCTGGTGCAAGAAGCGCTTCTCTAGCATCAAACATTGTATTTGTCATAAAACGCCCACCTGGATTTGTTCGATTGACCAATTTTCTAGGCTTGCTAAACTGAATCATACTCTCTTTCAAATTGTTTAAAGGACCTAAACCATTTAATCAAGAGCTAATGAGCTGATTTATTTATTTAGTATTTTTTAAATGCAAACAACACTCACCTTCTACTAGTACTCGTTTTTCTTTGTAATCGTTGAGAAGATGATTCCATAACGGCTGTTTGGAAAGCACTTTTGGATTTCCGATGATAATTAAACCATATTTTGATCGAGTTAAAGCAACATTGAGCCTTCGAGGATCTTTTAAAAAACCAATACCTTGGTGCTCATTTGACCGAGCACAAGACATTATGATGTAATCTTTCTCTCTGCCTTGAAAAGCATCAACGCTAGCTACTTCGATGTTCTAAAAAATTCAAATAAAATATATTCATTTGAAAAAAAATACTGATTAATACCACTATATAACAGCCATTTTGTTAACAATATGGTGAGTACCCAAAGCAACTGTAATGTTTTAGTTTTTTTAAATGGAGAAGTTAGACATGCTACATCATTAATGATATAGTACATCTAGTACTTCATGCTGTAAATTTCTGGATTATCTTATTTAAAAAGTATTTTTAAAGTTTTAATAAAACTTTGAAAATACTTTTTGTTTTGTTTTTGTCAATTTAAAGATTGTTTGTTTTAGTTCTAAAATCAAACATCTTGTATTATTTAACATGTTGTTCTACATTTTTGAAAAACAGTTTGTTTTAAAGCATTCTGAGATTAAATGACAAAACAAAAAAACAATATATTGATTGCTGTAATTAACCAAATAAATCTTCACAGACTTAAAAAAATGAGTCAGAGATTACACAATAATTTTAATGATACCTGATATAGAGATGAGTGCAGAGAACCACTAAACTGCATATAAGCTACAATATATGCTCTTTGACCCTCATATGGAGTTATAATGCCCATTTGCTCTGGTTTAACACCTGCACGTAAAAACCTTGTAGCAATTTTTTCAACTGTAGCAGCTTCAGTTCTTTATAAATAAAAATTTACTTTTTAAATTATTTGATATACATTAACTGATCTAAAAAGTTTATAATAAGGTTTCTTTATTTGTAGCTAATTGTGAAATAAGGTTCATTTAAACCATTTCTTTAAAAAAGACCTGTTCAAATAAGATGTGCCAGAAGAAGATATTTCTTCTTGTCCAGTGGTAGCATAAAAAAACATTGGTTTATCACCAACTGGCCATGGAAAATCAACACCAGGCTGTGATCTTTCAGCTGCAAAACAAAATAGATTGCATATATACAAATATACTCTTGTGATATGTCTACATGGAAAGCATACCTTTTATAGACTAATTTTTGAAATGAGTATCATTCAGACACTCATTACAAAGTGAAAAAAATAATAACAGAAAAACAAAAATCATTTTGCTGTAATTGATCTGTTTAGATGTGCCATAATAGATGCTGACAGATACTTCTATAAATCATGTTCTAATCTGTCGACCAAAACATATATCAATGCATATCCTTATTTAAGTACGATAGCAGCATTTCATGCAGATCAAAGTACACAAATATTGATAGATAAATATATCAAATATTGCATACATTAAATAAAAATACACCTATTTTGCACAAATAAGCAACAGCTTTTTTTCAAAATGCCTTGTGTTTTTGATTATTTTAAGAAAAACCCAATTAAAAATAATTTATTGCAGAAAAAAAGCTGTAGTATTGATCTACACAAAATGTCACTAATGACACACCAAAGAACAATTTGTAAATAGTTTGATTCCCACCACGCCCCTAGTAGTACCGCGCTCAAATTGTTTCTCCGTGCAGCGACCTTGTTTGTCAAGGTTCGTGTTTCGGAGTTAAAGAGTTGAGAGAGGGTTATAACCACAATTAAGTAGCCTCCTTATCTGTGGCCTTCTTGGCCTTTAGGAGATGAATTACAAAAAAAAAAATCTTAACTGATGGTTTGAGTTTGACCAAAGAGTTTTAAATATGAAGGATATTACAGCAAAAATGTTTGTCTGTTTTTTCATTATTCTTTGTTAGAAGAGGTGTATGAAATAAAATATAATAAATAGATAAATAAAAACACACTAATACACGCTATATTTACTGCTTCATATTGCAAATAATATATTATATAAATATGAGTATTTTTAATTTTTTATTTGAGTTTATTGTAAAATTTACAATAAACTTATTATAGACTTCATCAATTTAGATATTAGTTATGTTATCGTAATGCAAAAGTATTTGGCAAACTAAGTTACCAGCTTAAAGGAAATAGCTGAAAACATAATAAGAACTGCATCTACTTGGAAGATTTTGTTGATTTTTTATAATAGTTTTATATACAGGGCATTGGTTATAACCACTATGCAATGGTTACAATACAAAAAATATTATATACACATGTCAGGGGTCTACCCTCATGGTCGTACAGTGGAATGGGAAAACAATGTTTTTCTTCTTAATTTAAAACTCATTTTAAATTAAGAAGAAACATATTTCTTCTTAATTTAAAATGAGTTTTAAAATTCATAGATCATCATCCAGGATTTTTTTTAAAAACCAGGAAAATTGTTTGGGTAAAAATATCTGGAATATATTTTCTCTTACTTTCCTCTTAATTTTGCTTTTAACTGAGTTGTTTTAATTTTTTTTTTAATTTTAGTATGAGTGATGAACAAAAAACCTTAAAAAAACAAATATATTACAAAAATATATTCCTAAACTTGTATATGTACGGAAAACACTTTGGCTAACCGGAAAAACTAAAAAATGATAAAAATGGAAATATCTGGAAAAAGATAACCCCTGAAAATTACTTTTTCTTTCAATTCCAAATGCTAATAAATCATTTTCTTAAACCTAATATTCACATTTTGAATAACATGAACTTAAAAAGTTATCAACTTTGTTTAACAAAGTTAATAATTTTTTTTTAATTCGTCAAACTTCTTTCAATTCTTTAACTCTGAAGCACAAACCTTGTCAAACAAGTTCAGCATGATACTAGCAGCAAAAATATGCTGGGGATCAAACTTTATTTTGTAAAGGAAAATTTTCCTTTACAAAACAAAAGTTCTATCACTACACCACCACTACTGATTTATATTATCATTATCAGACACTACAGAATTTTATACAGTTATAATGTAAATATTATTTATTCAAAGCATTGAATTAAGCACTCTGAACATTCTCAAATTTAAACATCTTTAAAATAAAAGTGATAAAACATAAATTTTATGCTACAACTTCTTTAGGTTATAAAAAATGTTTTTGAACTAATTGTAAAAAATGTATATCAGGCCGGGAGAATAAAAAAAAGCAAGCATTTTTACTGAGCGTTTTTAGAGTAATTGCTCAACTTTATATGAATAAAAATTTGAGCTGAATCCCTTTAAATTTTTATTTAAGTAAAGTTATACAATTACTCCAAAAACGTCAAGTAAAAGCAATTGCTTTTTTAAATTCACCTGGCCTAATGTCCTTTTAGATTGGAAATGGTTCTAATGCATGTTTTACAGGAGAGCACTTGAAAAGACTTGACTTTTTATATTTGACTTATTTTTAATTACAGGAATATATTTTTATAAATTTACAGGAAATTATTTATATTTTTATTTACGGGTAATAATTTTTAATTATGGGAATATATTTATGCATTACCAATACATAAAACTTTTAACCTTTTTATTGATGCAGTGTACGTGAAAGTATGAAAAGTATTATATCCTGTGTTTTATTAATACAAGCAACAGGAATAGTGTCGAAAAATTAACTTCAGAATAGTGTCATATATATTAAAAAGGCCTGTCACAAAAAAAAAAAAAAAAAGGAAGAGTGTTGCAAATGAATTTAATAAATAATGTCAAAAACAAAAGCAAAAAAAAGGAATGTTGTTTTGCCAATAAAATTTGCGCCAATAAAAATTTGCAACAATCCAAATTTTGCAACACTATTCAGACACACCATAAATACATTGTATAAACCTTCGGAATTAGGCAAAATGAGGAATAAATTGCCAACCTCAAACTGTTAGAGGTCAGCATCAGGTCTGCAACAAAAAAAAAAAAAAAAAAAAAAAAAAAAAAAAAAGGTTACCATAAAACATAGAAGATTAGCGATTATTTTCTGACCTCAAACTTTTTTAGGTCGGGAGTTAGGTCGACATTGTTAAATGCTGACCCTAATTCCGAGGGCTGTTACATATAGACTATTATGATCTCATTTTAAACTTACCAACAGTAACACCATTTTGAAGTGTTCCATCATAAAATAAATTTGATGGAAATTCGCTTAATGAAGGATGCATACGATATTGCACTTGCAAACGAATAGGTCGTATACCAAGTACAACAAGCCGTTCAAATAGTGATTGAGATAAACCAGCACTATTGAGTGAAAAAATTAACATTAAATTCTTTGCTTCACAGAAAGAAAATTAAAAAATATATATATTGTTGACTATTTAGACAATTTATGTAAAAGAAGTTTGCTCAAAGTTTCTAGACGTCAAAAGAAGTATATAAGTTTAAAGTTTCTAGAAGTCAATAGATAATAGTAAGATTAATGATAAAAAATTATACTCTTTAATTTGATATAAATACAAAATACTAGAATAAGTGAAAGAAAAATTATTAATATATATATTTTTTTAAATTAATAATGTATAACATTTTGTAAAAATTAATAATGTATAATATTTTGTACATTTAAAATTTCATTAACTTTTTTATATTTTATTAAATCAGACATAATAAATAACTAGATGTAGTTAATAGTTTTTTGAAATTAAAATAAAATAGTTAAATTTAATCAGGTACATATAAACCAGTGAATAAAATAATTTTTCACGAAATTCATGTTTTATAGTTTGATTTATAAGTGCATTAGTGATAAGTATTTATAAAATTATGTTATTGACTTAACCCAGATATTTTTTTTATAAAACCTTACCTTGCAGCTTTCTTACACATAACTACAGGACCAAGTTGACAATGATCACCAACTAAGACAAGCTATATAAAAATATAACATAGTTATATATGTATTTGTTGCAAAAATATTGCATTTGTATTTTAATTATAAAATATTGCATTTGTATTTTAATACAAATGCAGTTTTTAATGTAAACATTAACCACATAAGTTGTATCAAAATGCAACATTTTAAAATTTCTTGCTTACAAAAGAACCCCTTTCCCTAGACACAAACTCTTCCACTGGAAAGAACATTTTTTTTTAAATTAGTTTTTAAATATTTTTACCTAAACATTTTAATAGCATACCAATACACTATTTATAATGCCTACATTGATCTTTTTTAACTTCACAGTAGACTAATGTAGACAACTTATTATTTTCAAAACAATAATAATATAAATACAACTATTCAAGTCAAGTAACAAAAATAATAGTTTGCTAACAAAAATATTTTGATTTTATCTAAATTTATTCTTATTTGAAAATTATTCTTTACTAGCCCACCCTCATTTTGAATATTATAGATTAATATTGTGAATTTTGGCTTAAACTATTTATTTCCATAAAATACTAATTTTAAATTTTTAATTATTTTTTGTTTATTTTCACAAATTTAATTTTGTCTATAAAATTTAATTGTAAATTAAACAGTTAATAAATCATGCTGTCAATGTAGATTCTAAGAACTCACTATATTCCATATTTAAAACTGTTAGAGTAAACTCTTGGACAAAATGTTAAAAGAAAAGCTTATTTTTGAATAAAAACTGTTAATAGACTTCCCTTTATTAGCTTTAGAGTTAAATTCCTTTATTAGCTTTAGAGTTAAATAATATACAAACATTTTAAAATGCTCTTTTAAAAGAAAAGAAAAAATTTTTATTCGATTTAAATGTTCCTTTAAATATAATTAGTTTGTCTTGATATCTGAAATTTAAGAGAATTCAAAAAAAAAATGTTTCCTATGTTATAAATAGTACATGATCTGAAAGCTCAAAAAAAGAAAAAAATCATATCCAATATAATAAATATATTTGTAGAGTTTAATTTTATGATAACAGAAAAAAGAGAGCTTAGAAACCTGTTTTGTTCCATGTACAATGGGGACCATACATTCTGGTTCAGTGGCTTGTGTGGATTCATCAATGAGAACACATCTGAAACGCAATTTTGCTACACGAAGTCTTGGATCACCAGCTCCAATACATGTTGTACAAATCACATCAGCATGCTTTAAAAATTTGTGGAAACTTTAGTAATTAAAAATTTTCATTAATTGAAAGTAATATTTTAATAAAGTTTTTAATTAAAACTTCTTACCTGAAGTAACTCCTTTTCAGCTGATGTTTTAAGTGTTTTGTATCTCTTTTCATCAGAAGATGAAAGCTCACCTTGATCATCTTTTAACTGTTGCAATTTTTGAAGTTCGGGCATACTATCCATATTTCTTACTTGATTATGAAGTGCAAGAAATCCTACAGGTGAATCAATTGCTTCTCGACTTTTGGCAGCTAAGCGAACTACCTATAAACATTTCTTAAACCATTACACAAATTTTCAATTCTCTAAACTTTAATTAATCAAAAGTTTAGAGAATTAAAATAATAAAAAGCTTAGAGAATTTATTATAATTGGTAATTATAATTGTAATAAATAATTATAATTTGTTTTTAAAATGTTAAAATTTTTCATATTATTCTTCACCTGAAAATTTGATTGGATTAAAATCAGCACATTAAAAATTTGTTAGTATAATATGTTAATAAGTACACCTCTTCAATAATAAATAGATAAGTGTAAATTTATATGCTAAAAACTATGATGTTAAAATATTGTATGATACAGTCCTCCGAATTAAGAAAAATTAGGTCGGCAATAATTTGCTGACCTTAATCTGGGTCAGGTCAACATCAGGTCAGCAGAAAAAAATGCGAAACAAAGGTGGCCATAAAACATAGAAACGAGGTTAGCATAAAGTCACAGAATACCAACCTTAATTCCGAGGGCTGGTGATATATAACTTTATGATTATAAACTATATAAAATACCTTTAATCCTGTTTTATGAATTTTTTCTGTTAGTTGATCAACAGCAATATTACTCGGAGCGCAAACAAGAATCTGTCCCAACCCCTGTTTAGCAAGGTGATACACAATACTTGCTGAAGTCACTGTTTTGCCAGTACCTGGTGGACCCTAAGTAAAATTAATTATCATAAAATATATAAATATTAGAGCTGTAAACAAAACTCTCACTCAAAAAAAAAAAATAATAATAATAATAAAAAACTATATTTTAAAAATCTTTCTTTTGATATTTTCAGCTTAAATAGTTAAGAATTTGTTTTTTGATAACAAAAAAAAAAAAAAAAAAAAAAAAAAAAAAAAAAAAAAAAAAAAAAAAAAAAAATTTGTAAATTATAAAAAAAAAAAAATCATACTCTGATGGTTCTCATAGAGCTTGTATGTCTGACTCATTGGTTGAAATTTTGATATATTTTTTTTTGTACATTTATTTATAATTTGTTTATTGTATTGAATTTTTATTATTATACTCTTGAATTCAATTATTATTATTCTATGATGCTGACGATACCAAAGTTAGTACACTTAAAGATAAAAAATGAGTATAAGCCAATGATGATATCATCATAGAGTGGATCAGAACTTGGCTAATAGAACTTAATTTAAAAAATGCAGTCATGCACTTTAAATAACAGCCCACCTTCAATAAAACTTACTTTATAACTGAATATGATTAACAAAGCAATACAAAAAGGATTGAACTTACTACATCAACTTCTAAAAAATACCTCAGCATTCACATCTCTTAAAATGTTAAATTAAAAACTTCATCTTCTATTGGCCTGCAAAGCTGAAAATATGCTTGGTTTACTAAAACATACTTTTATAAGCAGTGACACTAAACTATGGAAAAAACTACTAACACTACTTATATATGCTATAATCTAAAATTCAAAATTACCGCATGGGACCCTTATCTCAAGAAAGATATTGATGTATTAGAACAATTTCAGCATCATGCAATGAAAATCACAAACAAGTTGAAACGCCACTTCTATAAAATGAGGTTCATCAAACTAGATCTTACCACCTCTTGAAAGAAAGGTGTATATCCATGGTGACATCTAAAAATATAAAAAGGCGACAATGACACCATCTCCTGGCACGCTCCACCATATGCATTCCTCCATTATAAGACCATCACACATATACACTAAAAAAGACTAACTGTTTTATGACAACTTCTTTAAAGATAACTGTTTTATAACATAACTTCTTAAGAAGGGGTCTCCAAGTGCAAAGACAAGTTGTTTTCATATCTTGAATAATACTTAAAAAACAAGTTTCTTGTCAATTAATCATTTTTAAACAAATTATTTATAAAAAACTAAGTAATTTTTAATGCCATTTTTTGGCATTAGGAAGGTAAGTTTCCAGCACTTGACCAGTATTTATTTTTTTAATACTGGTCTGATTAATGCCCTTTTAAGTAAGGAGAGTTAAGGAGAAAATGACTACATTAAAAACAGAATCTTATAATTTTCAATAAATTTTCAATAAAAACAAAGAAATTATTATATTACTTTATATATAAATAAATATAAACATATATAATAAAAATAAAGGTTTGCAAACTATCAAAAAACTATATATATATATATATATATATATATATATATATATATATATATATATATATATATATATATATATATATATATATATATATATAAAATTTCCTAGATGATTAAAAAAATAATAAGGAGAAATTAAGGAGAGCAGTCAAATTTTAACTTTTTTAAAGGTTATTTAAGAACATTTAAGGAGTTTTTTTATTATTTAAGGATATTTAAGGTTTTTAAGGAGGATTGGGAACCCTATTTTTATAAAAAGGAAAAACTTAATCTAATAGTGCGGCTAAACAAGTAAGTCCTCCTAACTGATGATGTGTTCAACAGAACATGCCTATTTTCCGTGAACCAATTTATTAATGATTTATCTTATTATTATTTTTAATTATAATTGTTTTTTGCTCTGCTATATATTAATTTCCAATATTTAGTTTTAGCATCACTTGGATTAGATTTGCACATGGTATAGAATTTGTTGCAATGTAGTATTAACCTGATAACTCAAGGCATTGACGTTGCAAGATTTGGATTAGTTATAACTCAGAGATAACTCTGAATATACTATACAACAATTTAAAATATACGATTACTTGAAAAACTTACTTGAATGAGACTTAAAGGTCGTTGAAGAACAGTTTTAACAGCATACACTTGAGAATGATTTAACTCAGGTAGCCCAGGAGCTGAAAACCTTTTATATATATAAAAAAAAAAAAAATGAAATTGAAAGATCTCACTAAAGAGTTATAAATAATATAATATAATTATACAAATATAAATATTATAAACAAGTTAAATAAGTAGCAATTGTTTACACTAACATTTAACATATATATATATATATATATATATATATATATATATATATATATATATATAATATATATATATATATATATATATATATATATATATATATATATATATATATAGGGCCTAATCTAGGAAAAACTAATTTTGGCGGCAATAACCCCTGTTATGGCAGACTTTGGAGGAAAATTTGTGTTTTTTTGCGATATTAGTCATAAAAAGGTAAAAAAATAAATTAAATAAAAATAATCAGTAATTAAATTTTAATTTGGGCAACGCCCAAATACAGTCGACACTGTCATAAACAGTCTAGAATAACCCCTGATATATATATATATATATATATATATATATATATATATATATATATATATATATATATATATATATATATATATATATATATATATATATATATATATATATATATATTAAATGTTAGGGTAAGTTATTATTAAATTATATTTTTGTATAAATAAAGTTTATACATAATATAAGTTTTAATACAAAAATATTATAATCAACTCAGCAATAACTTAATTAAATTAAAAAGGAAAAAAAAATCGATAAAAAATCTTAATTTTTTAAAACCATTAAGCAAATTTATACCTTTTAGGAAGACTGCACTTGACATTTTGCTCTTCAACATCATGGCCTAATAACTTATGATAAATGTAACCACTTACAGATGTTTCATCAACAGCAAAAGTTTTCATTGCATATTGCATTCTTTAATATGAAAAGAATCAAACAAAACATAATTTAAGTAACAAATAGAAACTAATCATTGAGGCTTTGAATTTTGTATTATATTAACTATTTAAAAACAAAATATTAAACAAACTTACCTGTCAAATGATGTTGACTTCCAAATAAAATCTACAGAGAAATGATGAGTGCATTCTGTAGGAACGCCATCATTTTTTCGTAATTCAAGGCCAACTTCCTCTCCAAAATCTATTTAAATTTTGATTGTTAAAGATTTTAAGTAAAAATGAAAATAACCAGTGAGATGGACAATTTTTTTACAATTCAAAACGAACATTTTTTTAAATAAAAAATTCTTTTCATACAAATTTTACAATTTAAGAGTTTAGCCAGACATTATACCACTATATGAGTATTTTCTAAACAAAATTAGCTACACTTAATAAAAACATGCTTAAAGGGATCCCAAACTTTGAGACACGTTCATATTAAAGAGAACTATAAAAAAAATGTTTGTGTTAAATTTTTTGATTAAAACAAAAGAATAAATGAATACCAAGAAAAATTAACTTTTAAATTTTAGCAAAGCTTGTCTTTTGCGTTTTATTATAGGTCTAAAAGTCAGCATAATATGTGGCAATCTACAGACTTGATAATTTATTCAACTGCATTTTATTTGCGTCTTTGGGATCCCTTTAAGATCTACAAAAAAATTAGAAGACTAAAAACGGTTTCCTGGGAAGGCCTGTAACTTATGAAATACTAATATTTAAAGGGTCTCAAAAAAGAGGAATTCAATCCTAGATATTTAAATTGAAATAGTTCATTAGTGCCTCAAGGTTAGAAGTGCAACGATACATCAGTCATGGTAACCATTGGCTGATGCCTATGGTTATATATTTACTTTATTTTAAGAAATCTATACAGCTGCATTTTTAAAATAGGGCCTTTTTTCTAGTAGTATGTACACATGTTTAAACATGTTTCATTGATGTTTTTTAAAAACTCAAACCCTTTATAATTATATATTTTTAAATTGCTCAGTTTATTAAAAAAAAAATTTATATAGAAATATTGAAGAATGATTATTTTTATTTATAATCTTGATGTAAATCCAATATTACGCATTCTTTTTGAGTTGTTGTATGTTCTTGCTGTGCTACCATAAGCACAGATTATTCATGTCTAGGTATTTACAAAATATGTGTACTTGATGATTTCATATATCATAAATCTTGGAAATTATTTTAATTCTTTATATATTGCTGTTGAGCTTACTTTTTGTCCTTGGCACCTGTCCTTGGTGTTGTCCTTGGTGTGATACTCTGCATGTTTTTGTAATCCACCAAGATGTTATAAGTGTGAAGTTTGTCCTCTAGAAAATATTTAGTTAAAAGGTATTCATAATTCTGTTAAAATAAGTTAAATGGAAGTTTTATTAAGCTATGTGTTCTTGGTGTTCTGCACAAGTATGATACTTATTCAATCGAACAATGTATCAAACATTCTGGTGACTGTTTATAGTCAATAGAAAGTTGAAAATTAATATGAAATAAGTGTCACATGTTTATTATTCGTTTGGCGATTTGTCCTTGGTTTTGTGTTATTGGCGTGTTCTTTAGAGGTATATAAAGCAACATTACAATAACAATTATTGTTAGCCAGAGTATAATGAACATTCATTGAAAATTTTAGCTTATTATCTTCAAAATTGGTGAAGATATGATTTTTGCCTCAAAAGTGGCATTTCTGGACCACTGTGTATAGGTAAAAAAAAACTTAAATTTAGAGCCGATGCATCGGTATCAACCTGTACCAATCTGCATCGGCAAAACTTAAGGCACTGAAGAATTTGTTCAACTTGAATAATCTTTCGAATTATAGGAGTTCGAACTACAAGAGTTCAACTACATTAAAAAATTAAAACAATGATAAACAGTAAAAAGTAACAAGGATAACAAACCAACATATAATAGCACAGAATCAAAATAAAATAATGAGCTCTATATCTATATTTTGATTTCATACAATATTTTTTTAGATGAATTAATAGTGTTTAGAAAGAAAAGATACTGTTAGGAACTTTAGTTACATGCCCTTCACCAGACCAAGGCTTCCTCATCTCTCCATTGTAGCGTAAGCGAAGCTCATCCCCTTGCATTAAGCGCATTTCACCATCAGCACGGGGAAAATTAAAGTATGCTATTCTTTTTTTGTTTAAACCGATGTCCCAACGAACAACAATATTATCTTGAGACTAAAGAAATCAATCAAAATTACACATAAACAACAATTAAAACTAAACCAAAAATATTATATTTACGAAAAGCTTGTAACTCGTGGAAATATTATACTACTATCACTATATAATGGCTTATTAATAGAAAATGTCAACTCACAACAACTGAAAACTATTATAAATTTGAATCTTAAACTAAATAATATTTGTCTCGTTGTTTCAGAATTAACTAGTTAAATGTGTTTAGCTTCACTATTTTAAAATTTAGCACATTTACATTTATAGATTTTTATCATTTATTTGCTGTGATATGTAATTTTAAATTTAAAATACACACTAAAATTAAATATAAAACTTATAAAACAATTTTACATTAAAATGTTATTTTTATGTAAAATTGAACTATAACAAATTTTGCTGAAAAATAATTAGAACTTGGATTAAGAATTTGTGGTTAAATTTAATTTATAATATAGGGACTGTCTTACTTTATTAATTACATAAAAATGTTACAAGATTTCTTTTTAAAAACGAGTAAAAATCAAGTGATTAAACTTGCAGGTATTTTTTTCCCTCCAAATCAATTAACTTTATTTTATGCTAAATATTATTTTATTTGCTTTGCAATTATACTAAACAGTTACTTTGAACAAATACAGTTTACATAGAATGGTATAATATTTATTAAATATAATATTTTGTTGTAAAAAAAACAAACAAACAAGTAATATGTTAAAGTGCTAATGTGATTTTGCAACAAATCTTTTTACAATGACATTAAAAAAATAATAATTTAACTTTTGATAACAAGTTATTTACTAGTATTATGACAAGTTATTTACTAGTATTATGACAAACAATATATTTTTTAACATAGCACTTTTATGACATGTTGTTATGCCAAATTTATTTTTAACTAAATATCCTTTTTAATTATATTAAAACACTTTTACATTGAACACACCATGTTTACATTTAAAAGAAACTCCTGCTTTTAAATGTTCTACATCTTTAATCGTAGATCATCTAGGTCATATTTTAAAAATCCAGAAAATCAGTAGGGTAAAATATCCGGAATTTATTTTCCCTAATATTCCTCTTAATTTTGTTTTAAGCTGAGCTGTTTTTAATTAATTTTTTTTAACTTTTCTTAATTTTTGTATGATTAATGAGTGAAAAAGCTTAAAAAACAAATATATTACAAAAACATATTACTAAACTTATACGTATAGAAAGCATTTTTGAAATCTGGAAAAGCTAAAAGTTGAGAAAAATATCTGGAATTTTGGAAATATCTGGAATTTTGGAAATATCTGGAATTTTGGAAATATCTGGAAAAAGATAATCCCTGTATAATGTTCTCTCTCGTTTTATAATATGACATAATTCAAATATATATATATATATATATATATATATATATATATATATACATATATATATATATATATATATATATATATATATATATATATATATATATATATATATATATATAGACACACACACACACACACAAATTTCAATAAAAATATAATAAACCATTTCAAAAATTGAAACTTTTGAAAGTTTAATTTAAAATGCATGTTCAAAACAATTCTATTTATTTTTTCACTAAATACCTGTGATTCCTTCAACTTTTTGTCATACTCTGCTTCATGATTAACAAGAGGACCAAATATATTTTGATACTGGTAAGCATCTTCATATCTAAAAAGGAATTAAGTAAACATTTTTGTAATATTTACTATAAAATATTCAACGCCTATGTATTTTTTGGTATCAATATTTAAAAAAAATTTTTAATATTGATACCAAAAAACAGTATATAATTTTATTAATAAACAACTTTATATTAAAAAAAATATAAATGTCTTTATATTGCTCTACAAACTGCCTAAAATTTTAAATGACTTGAAATAACAAATCATTGTATAATTAGTTATTACTCAAAAACTTAAAACTTTTACAAATGAAGCCTTCACTAAAATAATTTTGTTTTAACTTAATAGAAGTTAGATTACTAACATTTAAGACTTTTCATAATATTTTTATAACCATAAACAAAAATCAAAAAGTAGTCAAAAGCTTTGATATCTTTTTTCTATGAAAGTATTTACTTTTCATACAATTGGGAATTTTCACATGGATTTTAGAGTACTAGAGATTAAAACACGTAAATAGAATAACTCACTATTTTTTGCCATGTCATATTTTAATTAGAAAGCATCATAAAAACCAACCCCAACCACACAAAGTGTAAATAAATATAAAGCCTTTTTCTGAAATTTAGAACTTTTTAAGTAGATAAAAATTGTTAATTGTTAATTTATCTTATAAATAAATTTTAACATTTAAATTTATAAATTATCTTATAAATATCTTCTAGTTTTATAATTATATTCATTATTATAAAGAATATATCACAAAATAAAATAAAAACAAACAAATATTTGATTTATACTAAACTTATATTAAGTTTGAACTTCAGTTCAGTTAATACTTAGTTTATACTTCTCAGTTAATACTCGGTTAATAGTTTATACTAAAAATGTTTTAACATTCCAAACATTTATACCTAAACTATGTAAACAAGTAAAAAAATAAAAGTTATAATTTAATAAAACCTTAACAGGACTGCTTGTGGCTCTTCATCAACACCTGGCTTCTCTAGATCTTCAAGTACTGCATCTGGGTTGTCCTGAAAGATTCCATGTTTTTGCAAAACTTATCGTCAAACATAATAATGATTTTAACTATTACTTTTCTACATTTTTATTAACAAGGCAAAGTAGTAACTTTAATACTATTATATATTTTTTTCTGATTTCCATAAATATTAAAATGCTTCAAAAAATTACCTTCCATAATTCTTCTAGTTTATTAATTTGAGTTGCTGAAATTTGTCTAGCCCGAAGCTGCTCTTGCTCTGAAGGAATTTTAACCAGCCATGAAAGAAAACATCGATCATGAATCAATGGCTGCCATTGGGTTTGATCCCAAGTTGAATCTTGTTTATTGCTTTGTTGGGCACAAGGCTGACGACATAGTAAGACTACAACAGAATCTGCTTTTGCTGGAATAAATCCAAGTAAAAAAACATTGCGACAACCACAGTTATAGCATTCCAGCTGAGTTTCACCTAAAGGACCGTCTTTGTGTAATGTCACTTCTTTGTGTTTACCTCGAACCAAATGATTAATAATGTGGCTAAAATAATTATTATAAGTAGTAAGAAATATATAACTATAAACTAATTACTTACAGTAATAAAACATACTTAAAACAATGTTTAAAAGATATAAATGCATTTTCACTCAAATTATATATAAGCAATATATTTTTGCAAATTATATATAAATAAATTAATTTAGTCTGTTTGTCATATTCTGAAAGATAACTTGAACAATGTTGTTTAATATTTAATATATATTCAACAATAGAATTGGTAAAATTATACTTTACTCTTAACAAAGTTAGTTGACTAATTAAGTGTCCAATTAATTTAGACTTACAAGTAAAAAAAATATATTAACTTTCGAGTTTTTATTTATACGTTTAGTTATAGTTAAATTTAAAACTATTGTTATTTTATAGTTAAATAGTTTAATTTAAAACAATTGTTTAAATTTAAAATTATTGTAAGAACTTTAATGAGGCAGGGCTCAATTTAACAGTTGTATATCGGACATTGTCCAGCTAAAACCGGGAATTAAATTCTAAAAAAAATGATATATGGAGGTGAATGGCATGCAATCGAACGCAATTACTGACCACCCATACGATTTTTTTTGTTTACAACTTGGCCACAACTGTTTAGATATTTTGATTATTTAAACATTTCAAAAATACGCTGAAAAAAGAAATGTTAAGCTAAGCTTTAACAAGGAAAAAGATAAAAAAAATTAAAGAATGAGCAAAACAATTCTTGAGGAAAAAGAAACTAAATTGGCTTTAAAATAAAACTAAAAAAACTTGAAGTTTAAACTACTTTTTGTTACTAATTACATTAGAAAAAAAATAATTTAAAACTTATCTTTTAAAACGTTTAATTAAAGTTATGCAAAATGCTTTTACAAATTACTTCTATTTAATGTTTAATAAATCAACATACTTTATTTAAATTATTGAAAAGTGAAATTAAATTAATGAAAAGAAAAAAAATGTTATATTTTTTAAAGTTGCATAAACATTTTTTTCAAAAAGTGGCAAAAAAAAAAAAAAAAAAAAAAAATTGTTTAAAAAAATAACTTAGTCTTTTTAAAATCTTAATTTTAATCATTTCATGCTTTAATTAATAAAGTAAAAAAAAAAAAAAATTATACAATTCTTTGTAAAAATAGAGACAAAAAAACGAAGCAAATATATCATGGGAAGATTTAATTAAACTTATTCATAATTTAAAGAAACTTAAAGAAATGATCTTTTAAAAATAGTTAGAAAGACATGGAAAAATAGTTTAAAACGTTTAAATTTATCATAAAAAATACATATCTACTTAAAAAAATTTAAATATAACATTAAATTTTACAAATAATGCATTTATTCTAATGATAATTATATTTTATGATTAGAAGTTATTCGTAACTTAACAATTTTTTCATTGTATTTAAATTATTAAAACATCAAAACAGGCGTTGTCAAATTGTAAAGAAGAAAATACAATGTAAAAAAACATACAATGTTGAATTGAAACTATTTTATCAAAAAAAATCTGTGATGAAATATTTTAAATAATAAGGAAAGAAAATTTAAACTTCGCTAGACTAACATTAAATAAACTGAATAACATGACAAAAATTGAATAACACCATAAAACCATAAATACTATATTTGAAAAATTTGATCGGACACTGTCCGACTTAAACAAGTTTTGATCGGACATTTTGTCCGGAACTTTATAAAAAATTAAATTGAGCCCTGATGTGGTAAAGTATTTAAACAATATACTAAGTTTATTAATTTAAAAGAAAAATTTACAATTTAAAACTAATATACCTCCCAGAAGTATTTCCTCTTCCATTACAAAACCATTTTTTGCATAGATTGCACAAAATTACAGAAGCTGGATCATGGATACTACAATACCTATTAAACAACAACAACAAAATTGAATAATTTTATTTTCTTAAAAGAAGTTCATTTCCAACAAGGATAAAAAAAATCATAAGAACATAGAGAGGATTCCAAAGCAATAATGTTCAAAAAAAAAAAAAAAAACTAAATAAATATGAAAGAAACAAGATTTATTCCTTTTACAGCACACAGGAGATTAAGATTCAGTTAAGCCTTTGTTAAATAGTTTCAAGAGCATTAAAAGTGTTCTGGAGAACACTTTACAAGACTGTAATAGAAATGTTGTTAGCACCGCAAGCTGTAGAAAAGTGAAAATTTAACCAGTTTCTCTGGGATGACGAAAAGGGTGTGGTTAATAGATTCAAGATAATATAGGAAAAGTTCTATGCAATCAATTTTGTCTTTGGAGAGATAATAAGATCAGATTCATATATGAGAAATGGAATCTTAGACTTGCCATTGTTAATACTTTGTTAGTAAAAAAGATAAAAAAAAATTTAGCTTAGAAATAGCAATTGCACAAGGAAACAGCAATAGGGTAGAGTAGACTTAACACAAAGCAGATGAGAAGGAATTAAAGCTCTTATAATTGTCTGAATCTAGAAGATAATTATGTAATAATTAATTAATAGAATAGACGATAATTATGCAATAATTAATTAATAGAATAGACACAAAAATTTATAGAATAGACATAAAAGACCATTTTTAAAAAAATCGCAAAATAGAAACATCAGTGAGCTTTAAGATAGTAGTAAGAAGTAGCCAGTTGATAGTAGTAAATTCAAGAGCATTTTTTGTCATACATTTCACTTAATTATTATTAATTGTTTTATAAATGTATATATATTAAGCGATTTTAAAAAACCATGCCCTGAAAATGTTTTGTTTATGATTTTTTAAATAAAAAAACTGCCATCTCTAATTTACTTTCATTTATTTCTAATATATATATATAAATATTAAGTAACCAAAAATGGTTGACATTAAAGATGTTATCAAAGAATTAAGTTTGAAATTGTCACACATGAAGCGAAAAATGTAAATTTTAGTTACTAAATAAATAAAATATATAAATTTCTTTGAAAATATAAATTTTACCAGTATACTGTTTTATATATTAGTAAAAATTTTCTTAAAAATAATAATTTTTATATTTGTATAGATTTTAAAAGCATTATGCATTATGATTGATTGCATTATGTATTATAGAACCACACCAATCCTTTTAATACAGTTCACAGATGATCACAAACAGAAGCTGCAACTTTGTATAGTTCATGGTTATTCTTATAAAAATAAATTGCTTGTAAATGTTTCAAAAAAAATGATTACATCCTTACAACACATATTTGATAAACTTTTAATGAGGAAAAAATATGATCAAGGATTAAGGCTAAGGACTATGGATCAAAACTTTCGATTATAAATTTTTTATTATAACCAGTTATTAAGACAGAGGGAGAATAGTGACCACATTAGTCATAAAAACTGTAACCATTCCACTAACAAAAAACGTCAATACAAACTATATTAACATATGTATTAGAAAAGGTAAAGCAATGCAGATCTCAGAAAGTTCGTTATAAACTCAATTTCTTTTTAGCACAAAACTATTACTTCTCACTCCACTTTTATAGTAATACTCATTAAAACAAAAAATTTTAACTATCTTGCAAACCTGCATGCATGTGAAGGTAATACTTTTTCAGCAATATTTTCTTCGTCTTCTTCTTCAAAATTAAGGTCACTAACACTTTTGGCAAGATCCTTCACTAACGAGTCTTCTTTTTCTTTATTATTTGATAATTTTTCTTTATTGCCGTGTTTTCTGACTAACAATTCGTGTTCTTGTCCACCTTTCTTTACACTTATAGTTGTTGAATTTTCAGGGTAACCATTTAGTATGGGATGATTTATTTGTTCTAACTGAGAGTTTAGTTGGGAAGCCTGAGATTGAGTTTGGGTTTGAGATGGCAAAGTAAATTCATTAAACTCAAATTCACTTCCTTGTGTATCTGCACCGAAGTCAGCTTCTTCAGTTTCTAAAAAAGTCAAGGTCTGAGACGACGGACCGTAGCTTTGGGATTCTAGTGTAGACATTTTGGCATAAAAACAACCTCTTAGCTGACCGAAAGTTGCAACGGCTCGCTCAAGACAACTTCTAGAAAGGGAAAGAACAACGAGTTGACACAATGTTACCCAGAAACCAATGCATCACTAAGTTAATATCATGTACAAATGCTCGCTTACTCAAACCGAACAAAAATAAATGGGAGCCGATCAAAATTACTCAGAAAGAAAAGTTTGATATCAAAACATTTGATTCAAAAGTAAATTATAAGCCATTATACACTTATGTTATGATTAAATTGAATCAAGCGCAAAATTATATGTAAGACTATAGAGTATACGAAGAAAATTCAATAAATAAAAAAATCTTAAAGTTTTGTAAATGCTATGAACTATTATTTTATTAAGGTTTAACTTTTAATATTATTTATTATCATTATTATAACTTTAATTTCGCTGATTAAACAATATTAAAACTTTCATATAATCTTGTAAATAATAAATAATATTGTAAACATAAATAATTGTAAATATATATATATATATATATATATATATATATATATATATATATATATATATATATATATATATATATATATATATATATATATATATATATATATATATATATATATATATATATATATATATGTATATATATGTATGTATATATATATACATATACATAGGCGTAGAACGCACTGGGGCTCCGAGGCTCTTGCCCCACACGGAAATTTGTCGCTGGGGCTTTGCCTCACCCGGGAAAATTCACCAAGCTTTCAAAAACATTTAAAAAAGAAAAACCATAATATATTTAAACATTTACAAATATAACAATTTAAAAATGATTGTAATATTTCTACAAATACCTATGGTGATTTTCAAAAGTTTAAGCTTTCAAAACTTTAAGTTATTTTTCGAATTTCAGAAATTCCACGCTTCTGATGAGTCTCAAGGGAGTTTGAGATCGGTGAAAACTTATTAAAAAGCAAATTAACGGAACTACATAAACTAAAGAGTTGAGTGAGTTAAAGGTTCGTTAACTTATTTTTGATAACTTTGGTAGTATTATTTGTATTAATTATTATTTATAAGTTTGGAATTAAAAATCATTTGAATTAAAAACCGTAAGTTTTTGAAGAAATTTTTTAATTGTTCACCAGTACATTGACTTTTAAGCAAGAAGTTGTAGAACTTGTACAATGAAGAAGATTAGTACATACTTTTTAAAAAAAGAAAACCAAATTGGAACAGTTGCATTATTTTCTGAATCTCAAAATGCTAATAACTTCCAAAATGATACTCATGAAATTTCATCAGTCAAATGATGCAACTGATTCAACCGCTGTTGTTGAGTCGCCGTCTTTCACAGAGGAGCCTGGACCTTGTTGTTTAAGGCAGTCATCTTTTCCATCAAAAAGGCAAGAAAATTTAAACAAAGATAGAATGAAAAATATAAATGGGTTTTACACGACCGCGAGAAAGAAAAAGGTTTTTTTCTACCTGCATCAAAGATACCCAAATGAAAATGCATTCACCTCGTAGTTCAAGAGAAAAAGATTTGTACGAAGCTTTTATTTTAAACGATTTTCTTATTGGAAAAGGGCGTTACAGATTTTTGGTTCTTACAAGCGGTCTGAACTCCATAGGGCGATCGTCTCAGCAACACTGGAATCAGTGTTGCTGAGACGATCATACTAGTCGGTAATCCTACAGTTAAGCGGCCTAAAATAATTTTTATTTTTTTGCTTGTTGCGCTCTCGTCAGTAGAGGCCTTATAAATAATAGGAATATTAACTGAAATAGTAAAAGAAAATATATATATATATATATATATATATATATATATATATATATACATATATATATATATATATATATATATATATATATATATATATATATATATATATATATATATATATATATATATATATATATACAAATGTACAGTGGCGTAGGATAGTTGCGAAAGTGGATAAGGGGGGGGGGCTTAAAACATATATATTTAAAAGGAAAAAGTTCAATTTTGTATGATATAGCAAAATAGATGAGAATGATCTATTTATTCAATTATTTATTACACGCAACATGATTAATCATCTTTTTAACGTGATTAGTTATCTTTTGCCAGCACACATTCATTTAAAAAATAGTTAGTATGCGATAGTATCTTAAACAGTTTTATGGATATTCTTTTCCATGGTGATGTTTAATTGGGTAATCGGTAAAATGCGAACTGCGAACCGCGAACTGCGAACCGGTAAAATGCGAACTTTTTTGCGAACCAAAACATTACATTTTAATGACCGCAATATAATATATTAAAGTTATATAAAACGTTTGCTATTCAATTCTTTCTTTTATTAAATAATATAATGGAATTAGATTTATTTAAATCTTTACCCGCTGAATTCACTGTTCGGTACAAACCAAAAGCTGGTACTAATTACATTTTCTCGTGGACTAATGACAAGGATAAAGGTAAGATATGTGAATATATATATATATATATATATATATATATATATATATATATATATATATATATATATATATATATATATATATATATATATATATATATATTAGGTACGCGCACTGAAATTTTTAAATTAATCATATAGTAGAATGTTATATATCATTAGAAAGGCCTTTAATACAGTATTTTAAAGATGAAAAAATTATTAAAAACGAACAATTCTAAAAAAAGTTATAACGTTTTTAGTACCAAATTTAAGATATATAGAATTGTTGAAGAAACTGTGGTCAAAATAATTATTTTTTTCACTTAAATTGTTATAACTTTGTCAATTTTTATCCAAATACCTATATCTTGGTATCAAAAGATAGGTGCACTAATGGGCTACAAGTTCATATAGGTCCCTGGACGTAGGGTGTATCTTGGGAGCCAGAGGGGGTAATGAAACACCATCTAACCCTTAAGAAAATACAAGTTTTTGTAAAAAATAAGCACTTTTTTAATGTAATTGTTAGATTTTATACATAAAATATTGCCATAACTTGATTCCAGAACACTGCCAAACAAAATAAGGTGATCTTAGAGTTGGCCGTAGATGTGGTTATGATGTTATAACACCCTAATACAATAATCATACATTCTAATAAATAATTTAATCTTTATTACAGTAATTAAATATTTTGTTAAAAAGTAAAAATATATTCTTTTACTATACAACATACATTAGTGATGTACACACTAACTTTAGGAAAGGGCGTATGTCGCACCGCCCCCCGCCCCCGCCCCTGCCCCAACGCATAACAAAAAATAAAAATAATTAAATCTTTTTTACAATAACTAAATGTTAACAAGTAAAAATAATATTTTATTACTATTCAACATATATTATTGATGTACACATTGACTTTAAATAAAGGAAGTCTAATGCACCACCTCGCCCCCCCTCCCACCTGACAAAAAATAACGTCATCTTTATTTCAATAATCAAATGTATTGTTAAAAAGAAAAAATAATCTTTTATAACTATAAAACATACATTAGTATTGAAAATATTGTTGTATTACGTGAAGCAATATTTTTTTCTATAGAACATACATTAGTGATGTACAATTTGAGGAGAGGGATGGTTTTCCCCCTTCCCCTCAACCAACGTAAAAAAGAAAACACATAGAAATGATATTTTCAACATTTTCGCATGCAATTATTAAAAAAAGAAAGCACAATACAGAATTGTTTTACCAGATTGCACGAGTATACATTTGCACGATTATTCATTTTCTCGAGTTTACATGTATTCAGTAGCACGAGTATACATTTTCTCATTTAAATGATCATATTTAACCGACCAACCTTATAAAAAACAAACAAAAAAAAAAACAAATGTTTCGAAACATAGTAATTAATTTATGTCTTGGCTTTTAGTAAATGATTTAAATTAAGTTCCAATGCAACTAAATAATTCATTTTTAACAACAGACACCACGTGAAGGTAAGCCAGAGCCATCTATCTTTTTTTTTTTGCAAGCCACAAAACTTGCTGTACCTATTTGCAAGCCACAAAACTTGCTGTACCTATTTGCAAGCCACAAAACTTGCTGTACCTATTTGCAAGCCATAAAACTTGCGGTACACATTTGCAAGCCACAAAACTTGCTGTACCTATTTGCAAGCCACAAAACTTGCTGTACCTATTTGCAAGCCATAAAACTTGCGGTACACATTTGCAAGCCACAAAACTTGCTGTACCTATTTGCAAGCCACAAAACTTGCTGTACCTATTTGCAAGCCACAAAACTTGCTGTACCTATTTGCAAGCCATAAAACTTGCGGTACACATTTGCAAGCCACAAAACTTGCTGTACCTATTTGCAAGCCACAAAACTTGCTGTACCTATTTGCAAGCCACAAAACTTGCTGTACCTATTTGCAAGCCATAAAACTTACGGTACACATTTGCAAGCCACAAAACTTGACTTAATTATTATACTAACTATTTTAAAATAAAATTACAAAGTTGTAAAAAAAAATCAATATTGCAAATAACAAGAAATGCATATACATATTAAATGTAATAGTTTATTAAATTACTAGTTGCAGCAGATGACTAAGGAACTAAAGTTAAACATATTATAAAGTTTGCATAGTAAAAACTAATAGTTGTTTAACTTACCAGGTGTAGCACAAGAGGTAGATACTAAAATTACAAAGTTGTAACAAAAAATCAATATTGCAAATAACAAGAAATGTATATACATATTAAATGTAATAGTTTATTAAATTACTAGTTGCAAAAGATGACTAAGGAACTAAAGTTAAACATATTATAAAGTTTGCATATTAAAAACTAATAGTTGTTCAACTTACCAGGTGTAGCACAAGAGGTAGATACTAAAATTACAAAGTTGTAACAAAAAATCAATATTGCAAATAACGAGAAATGCATACACATATTAAATTTATTATTTTTTTAAATTACTAGTTGCAGCAGCTGACTAAGGAACTAAAGTTAAACATATTGTAAAGTTTGCAAATTAAAAATTAAGAGTTATGTAACTTACCACTTACCAGGTGTAGTACAAGAGGTAGATACTAAAATTAAAAAATTAATATTGCAGCAAATGGG